TTTTTTTTTTGCACCAAAAGTAATAAGATACTTATTACAATCTTATTACCGTAATAAGATGATCTTTTTATTTAATACAATCTTATTACTGTAATAAGATGGACTTATTACTTATTACGCATCTTTTTACAAAGTAATAAGTCCATCTTATTACAGTAATAAAATGAAAGTAATAAGTAATAAGTAATAAGTTACTTATTACTTTACTTTACTTTACTTTACTTCTATATCAGAATTGCTGCGTTGACAGATGAAATCATTAGTGACAAAATATTAGCAGTAATTTCATTTATGGATATTATGGACAGAGCATTGAAGTTGCTGGCTATGTAGTGCTGCTGGTGAACAGATCTGTTTAACAGCAGCTATTGGTTTCGTTCATCTCCCGATTCTCACACACAGTGTTTGTCTCTTGCACGCAACCAATAGCTGCTATTAAACAGATCTGTTCACCAGGAGCACTATATAGCCAGCAACTTCAATGCTCTGATTATGGATGCTGGAATTCATTTTTATAATAATCGTGTGATTATCACACAAGCCGGGGGAGCAATTTTGCTTCCGGCCGAACGAATTGAAAACAGCTGAATGAATTATTCATGATGCAAGCATGATCAAATCACGAAATAAATGATTTTTTTTCCTCTTTCATAAAAATGATTTTAATAATATATGTCGTCACCATCTTTCGGCATCGATTTGAATCATTCGCATAGATACATATGATTACGTTTGTGGTTTCTTTTTTCAAAAGAATCAATAAATAGCGGTTTGAAAATTGATATTCAATGTTTATGACATTTTCCATCACGGTGTACGTTTTTTCTAATTTCGGTGAATTTCGAATAAACTCGAACGACTTTTCGCCCGTAAACGCGGTAGTAAGCCATACTAAAACTTTTCGATGGAATAACAACAATTTTGTTGTGTATTTCCTTCGGTTAGCTTATGTGTAGGCCTTAATTGAATTATATAATGACTAATGACAAAGAAAAGGTTTATTGCTTGTTGCTTTTGCACACGTGCCACACGGTGATTTTCACATTTACGGAAAGATTTATTGACGAGATTTGTATACATAGTAAGTTTTTGTGAAATAGTTTCTCCCTTTAGCTGAATGCATGCTTATTGCTCAAACATTTATGTACAATTATACACAGCAACTGCGGGCAACACACATCGACAACAACATGACATTGACAGAGTAACAACTACGACCAAAAGTTCAGAAATTGCCTAAACTACCTTTGAACTTCCTATAGCCGATAATGATGTTTGCAAAACAATATTTGCCAAATGATCTACATCGGTGAGAAAATGGGTTTCAAACGAAGTAGTTTGCTGGGTTCCGATTAATTGGAACAGACATCGTTCACCATTTATCCATTAACACAACCACGTGATAAGTATTGTAATCACCCCAAAAAAATTTGGGATAGTCAAACATTATGTTTTTGTTCTTAAGTATAAATCGGAATTTATCAACATCTCGTTTAAATCTCGTAATATTTCATAAATACATTTTGAAGGAGTTTTGATTCTTAGAAGATGTGTTGTTGTTAAACAGTGAAATGTGCAAAAGAGTTAATCTTGCGGTTTTAAAGCCTACTTATTCACAAGTTGATTACAATCCGTTCAAGTAAAATGAAAGCTTGCCCACATTGTTCATTCTTTGCGTGTCTACAAATGTTCCCATGGCTTTATGGCGATTACAATACCAATCGCAAGAACATACATGCAAGCAACTTAACTTCAATTATGTTGCACTTGAAAGTTTGGTTCTATCCAACTCACCCACATTATTTAATGGTTTTAATGAATATTGACAGAACATTCCACCAATACAAAGCTACCACTGTCAAGTGCATACGACTGAAAAGCATTGCATCCCGAACGTGACGAAAGAATGTATCCGATGTTTGTGTATATGTTACACACAGCTCATTTTCAGTCAGTCACACATCGTTGTAATATGGCCAAACATGCTTAAGCGTTTCAAATCAAGTTGACTTGTACACTTGTTAATTTCCATCATTTCCGAGTCACAAGTTTTTATCTCATTTACTGTACATTATATAGTTGTAATATATATTTTTTTTCACTCTCTCTCCCTCTCGGTCTTTCCCTCTTTCTCTATAATTCTCGCAAATGTCACATTTTTCTTATAGAGTATAATTTTTAAGTGGATGATGCCATCATGATTGCACTATTGAGATTTAATGGTCACAATGCGCACACAAAAAACCGATCTAATTAATTTATAAAAAACGTCGCTATTCTTTTTAGATAGACACAGCACAATTCAAGCGGAAAGAGTTGGTGTTATTAATTGTTTCATTGCATCTTC